GAAAAGCGGTGGAGTAATGGTTATCGGCTCGGATTGAGGAATCGCAGAGCCGAGTTCGAATCCGGGTTGAATCCATTACACTCACTTACGTGCTAATACCCTTGGGAAAGGTGTGAATCCTCTTCTTCTCCCTCCAGCTATGGGTAAAATAGCAGGACAGACTGGGTTCTGTAGACTTGGATGGCAACTGGTCTAGGAGAAGGACAACTCTGAATTCAAAACCTGAGCGGGGTTGTTTGGTGACCTTGTGGCACGTAGTGCACCAGGTTTCTGTATTCGGCCCTTCAAAAAGTGTGGATGTCCTTCACGAATCTCATGTGCCGGTGTCGGGCTGTCAGTTTCCTGAAACTGATCTGCTTGTACCCTCATACGTCGAACCCGACAGGGAATATATATATATATATATATATATATATATATATATATATATATATATATATATATATATATATATATATGCCCACTCGTATACGTGGATACCCGTATACTAGGGCGGCTAGCCACTTCCTGTTGCTGTTGCAAAAGATTGCTCAGTAAGGGATAGATTTTTCTAGTTCCACGTGTCATTCCTCTTCCGGATATGTCACTTTAGATCAACTCTCCACGTTTTGGTTTACCATTGTTGTGGCCTGGTATTCAAATCACAACTTTTTGGGTCTAGTCACTGGATCTAACCAACGTCTTTATTCACTGGGACATGTGTCTTCGAGGACACATGGCCCAGTGGCATGGCACGTGGAAGTAGAATAATCTACTCCGCTGCACGAAATACAGGTTTCGTTTCGAAGATCCAGTTCCCTGAAGAAGTCCGGAGCGTACAACGGCCAAAACGTTGTGAAGATGAGGTTAACATTCCGAATAATGTAAATAATGCATGTGATCCAAAAACTTTGTTTAAATGAATGTGTAACATTATGATTTTAATTCATTTCATTAGTTTTTCTTGGAAATTGTATGTGCTATCTGCTTTACTTGCTTATGAATATCCTTACAGTTCTTTTTTGAGGATTCTATAGCGCCAGTTTACGATGTTCGAATTACGATGGTCCTCCTCGAGTTTTATATGTTCATTCGCTCGAAGCTATTTTTAATTATTGATCTGAAAGAGTGTTTGAATACGGCTCATATGTTAGACCTTGCTGAACGGATCTGGGATCATTCCTGATATCCATACGTGAATCTTGATCTGACCACGCTATTTAAGAACATGACCTGAGAAAATACTTTAGCGTTCCAAATACAGAAGCCTTGAAGATTATTGTCTTAAAAAAAAAATTAAAAAAAAAACACTCTGGATTTATTTCAACCATCCCTTCTATTAAATATTCAGGAAATTTCCCCCAACTTAAAAAAAAAAAAGTTAGGCTGCGCGTATTATACGAAAAAGTGTTTTATTACTGATAAAGAAAGTAAAATATATATTAAATGACATGGTTTGGAAATCATGAAAAATTTCAGAAATTTGGATATTCTAAAAATGTCTTTATATATTTTGCAAAATTGCTGCTAGGAATATCTTAATTTCGCAATGTCAATGCGTTTTTTTCTTTTTTTTCTTTTTGGGCATCTTCAGCTATATTTCTCATTGAAAAAGACTAAGAATATGAATTGGAATAAAGCTGAAAGTTGCGAAGCTTTGTAGAAAAATGAAAAGACATGGCGATCAAGGCTCTCCACAACACCCAATTATTTGTGGCATCAGTATATTAGATTTTAATCCCTTAATATTTGTTCAAGGAAAAGTTTTCAAAATTAAAATTTGACAAAATATACACAATTTTACAGTGGCCCGCTTTTTTTCTCATAGCATAAAATTGTCGGATGGCACTTGGTTTGAGAAAAGCCAGTTTAGACAAAGAGGCATATTTGAAACAAGTTGATTTCTACTTATGGGAATAGAAATTTTTGCCAGCAATCCCGCTACACTAATACGAGTAAAGGTTGATTTGGAATACCAAGAAATATACTTACTCATGGGGCAAATCAATCACACAACGATGAGAGAGTAAGGGATCAAGTTTCACAAGGATATTTTCAACGCATAAAATCATTAGACGGCTCCAACTAATATTATGCTAAATTGTTAATAATTCAAACTAGCCCGCCTAATTAACAGCGGTTACGCAACGTGACAGTGTCTCTACGTGCAGCTGGAGTCGGTGAGCGCATATAAATATCAGTATGACCTCAGTATCTGATCATATTTTTTCTACATGTAGTTGCAGCAAATTTAGTGTCATAATATACTCGCCCTCAGTCTGTCTGTCTACTTCTATCTTTCTCCATATATTATTTATTATATTTTTTTTCATATAGACTAAAACAATTTACTCACTACAAAGATGCAACGTCGTTTCACTGCATTTGGTTGCACTATGACTGGTGATAACCAAAATGATTATGAACAATACTTTTTGTAAGAAGGCCGCACGGGGAACGTAACTTCCTTTTTTCTATTTGTTTGGAAAAACATTATATATATATATATATATATATATATATATATATATATATATATATATATATATTTGAAGAAATATAGTTTAAGGTATAATATATTATTTTTATTTATTTAAGTGCTCAATATCAGAGATAGAGCTTAT